GAGAAAGAGACGGACACTGCAGCCGTATAAACCGACGGCAGCTGTAAACAGGAACATTTACTGCCTGTATTCCTACGTTTTAAAACATATTTTATTGTTGTTTTTCCAACTCTCGGATTCAGATGCTTCAAACTAGGCCTTTACTGTGTCCAATTTCTATAAACAGTCACCGGTTTGGACAAACAACATAAAATGAGGAGTGAATATTTACTGCTGCACTGAGTGTAAAGAGCGCCGGAACATAAAAATGAAAAGAGGAAAAATATAATTGTAAGCGTCAGACAGAGGAATCAGTGAGCGTGAGCTGCTGAGATGAAGCAAAGACAGAGAGAGAGAAAAAAAAAGAACTGTAGAAGGGGACTGTGTGTGAAGGTCAAAGGAGAACTGTGGTGTCTCATTATCGTCACCATCATCACCACCACCGCCGCCATCTCTGTGGTCTTAATGCAGACTTTAAAGAATTTATTTTCTTCCTTTCTACCTACGTTCTTTGCCGTCACCTGCGGAACCAGTCAGAGCCTCGGGTCTCAGCTCTGAACCGCCTGTCCAAACACATCAAATTCAAATAAATAAATGGTAGAGCAAAAATCCACTGCACTAGAAGTAAGAGCTGTTTGACAGTTTCTTTGAATTTCCTAAATGTATTTTGAGAGATACAGGGCAGTTACGTCCAACGTGATTTTACAGAGTCACAACTGTGTTTGTATTTGCTCCTCAATTGTGAACGTTTGCATTTACTTAGGGTCTCTCTTTGTTTCATGCAACATTCTGTGTAATGAAAAAAATCAGACGGTGACATTTTCAGAGGGTCGGACCTGACAGAGGTGACCTTGAAAGCTCTGCAAACGTCCTTGTAAGCCCTCCAGAACTGTATAAAACCCAGTTTTTTCCATTGTTATTAGCACTAATAAGGGAGTTTTTAAGAAGGCCAGAACAGATTTTTTTTCTTTCTGTTATATCTTATGAGAAAAAATGATTTGCGATACGAGCACCTCGAGATACAAGCTCAGTCCTGGAACAGATTATGCTGGTATCTCAAGGTATTACTGTATGTACGTACAAAAGACAATATGGACATAAGTAGTTGTATCCCAAAGCCATCCTTCAGATAATTGAATTATTTAAATCCACTTACAAGTAATATGTTTAAGTTCTGCCAACGACACGGTGGACATTTAAAAAAAAAAAAAAAAAATTAAAACATTTTAATGCATTACTTTCATCTAATTTATATGCAGTGACCTTGACTGGGTTTTCCCCACTCTATAAAAGACTTTCCTCACTTCAGGACTTGATTATATTATACAAGGTAATAAAACTCTCAGTTAGATCCTCAGGATTGTTAATCTAATAAACTAATGAGTCTTGAGGATTCTCAACGATAGCTCACCTTTAATTCAAGGTTGATTCAGCTTCAGCCATCGGTATTTGTTGAGAAAAGGTTCAAATATGTTTATATAAATAGGATTTTGAAATTCTAAAAGGAGGCAGCCCTGGACGAATGGGAAAGTTAATGGATATCGTAAAAGTTTGCTCCAAAAAGCGAGTCATAAAACAGTCAGTATTATTTTGCCAATGGGCGAATTTAGCTTGATAAGCCTAAAACATACATACAAACAAACATACCGAATTTAGCTTGATAAGCCTAAAACATGTAAAAACAAACCCAGGACATCCATCCATTTTCACCCGCTTATCCGTTACCGGGTCGCAGGGGTAGCAGTCTCCACAGCCGACACTCAAATCACATTGCACCGTACTTGTTCATCGTGAACCTTCCTGCAGGTGGTGAGTCCACTGGAAGGCACCAACCGCCCTAACTGGGATTCGAACTTGCACAGGAGGTGAACCCTGGGTTCCACACCAATTGCCTCTGGGCCAAAGCGAATCCCAGGACATTTGTAAGCATAATTAAGAATCAGAACAACAGAAATTATTTATGTAAGAAAAATTGCCCAGAGACAGGTAGCTGCTAGGCCAAGAATTTCTAAAATATAAAAGTATTATTTTTTTAAAAATATGCTGTGCTTGAAATGAGTCGAATCAAAGCTGAATGCTTCAAATTACAAATAGTGTTGAAAATATAATCCTGAAAAGTGCTTACATTTGACTTGTGAAAAACCTACTTATGGGGATTTAGTTTAACTAACTCCCGGTAAAACTTTCTATCCACCCACTCACTCCACCTGTCCTGCCCCACCTTTACCCAGCTCTACTTCTCTGGGCTGACATCTCGGTATGTGTGAAGTGTCTCCTGTGGTTCTGCATCTTTAAAGAGGATGTAGCAGCGTAAGGAGATTAAAGGAGCACGGATTTAAAAGCCCAGGAAAGACAGCAGAGGGGAGAGCAGCAGCAGAGACAGGACTGCAGGAGGAACAGAGAAGAACGAGCTTAACCTACATCTGCCCTACTGTAGGTCAGAGTGATTACGCCTCTCTCCCACGCTACACCACCTTTCTCCCACACTCTACGTGTACATGCTTCCTCCTCTGGAAAGCTCTAGGCTCTGAGCTTTGAAATGTAATCCAGTGTCAGGAGTTTGTTCACTTCTTCCCAAATAAAACGCAGCTCATTGATTTCAGCCCTGGAGTCTTCCCATCCTTTTTTTTTTTTTTTTTTTAATATCTGTGCTTCTCTGCTTTGACAAATGCCTGAAGAACAGATTTAAAATCACACAAGGCAATTTAAGGCCTTTGAATCCAGGTGCTTTTCATCAAAATGTGATTATGTTTGCAGAACATTTCGCACACTTTTCCCATTCCCCGACCCATTATTCCGAACATGATGATGCTAATGCACGTTCGCCGTGGAGGAAGGGAGGGAATATTCTCGTGGCAAGCATCGCTCTAATGTTTTGCATATTGATGAGTGGAGCTGAAACCATCCTCCCTCTCCCTCCCTCCCTCCCTCCCTCCCTCTGTGGGGAGAACTGTGGGGAATCGTGCCTGCGTTGCTTTCTGTGAAAATGTGAGGCATCTGTTTTGGAAGGTGAGACAGTTCAGCGGCGCTTTTTAGTTGAAATGAGGCAGAAAGAGACAAGAGGCTCCAACTGAGGCGGTGAGTGGTGGCTCTGAAAGTGGAAAGGAGGAGAACTGGAGGAGAAAGAGAGTTTTGAAGCCATGGCGAGGAGCACGGTGCGGGTGGAGCTGATGACAGTGACATTAGAGATGGTCCCTGACAGTTTGAAACAGGAGCTTCTTTTGTGAAATATGATTTGAGAGGCAAGTCAGCTCAGTTACAGGGGAATATAATAAAATAAACAACTTAATATGTAGAATGCAATGAATTGCAATAAGAAATAAATCTTAGTATAAAACTAAAAAAAAAAGGTTTCTAACATGGGTGATTACAACAGTTTGGTGGACCAGAGTAAACTGATCCAGTACGTGGCAGTACTGCAAGTCAGAGATTCCACTAGAACCTTAAGAATTAGTGAGATTGAAAGTGAAAAGATTAAGAAAAAAATTTAAAACACTTAAAAATACATGATAGCACAATATGGTTGGAGGTGTACGGCACCATATAAAAGTAAAGCTCAGTGCTATGTCTCTTTCTGTGGGGTGCATTTCTACAAATCTGCCAGTAGCTGGACTGAAAACTACTAAAGCCATGAACTTATACACTGTACCAAAAAAAAAAAAAAAAAGAAAAATAATATGTACTACATCCAACACTGATTTTGTGTCCATACACCATTCAACTAAGGCTACTCTTCCCCCAGCGCACTATTGTGAAGTGGCATCTATCAATCACCTGACTGCGGTGACATGCACACACACACACACACACACACACACAGACACTCATACACACAGAGTGCAGCCGCAGCAACATTTCAATAATGGCAGCATCACCTGAGACTCGGGCAGATGAAAGAAATCAATGCAGGACCCGTCAGCGTTTGTCCACAGTGTCACATGATATTCAGAGTCAGGAAACATCTTCAAGTGGCTGCACGTCTGTGTGTTTTCCCACTTCGAGGCGGTTTTCCACATGAACTACATTCTTCACATCTCATGACTGATATTAGCCGTGGAACCAGGTAAATGGAACTAGGGACAGTACCAGGAGGCCTGTGAGATTTCACTGACAGACTTGATTAGACGAGAATCAAATCGACGTCGTCTTCGACAAAATTTTCAGCAAAATAGTCAATTTTCCAGAGACGGGACAATTAGAGAGTTGACTTTTGGAGATGAACGATGGACTTTGATAAAAGAAAAGCTCTTAAGAAGTGGACGAATAAAGATTGTTTTGCAGTTAAACAAGAACCACGTAGTTCCTCGAAAATTGTTACTATGCTAAATAGCCCTGATGCTTTTTAGCTATTATATAATTCAAACTTTCTTGAGGAATGTTTCCATTTCAGATTTAAGTCACAACTGAAGACAATCAACAACAATAAGTTAGTTCCTCCAACTACGGTTTATGGCGCTAAAGTTTTCGGTACTTTCGACCTTTAGCGGTAAAAACGTCCAAAAAAAAAAAAAAAAAAAAAATCTAAAACAAATGCATGACCCAAGCAGTTTCCTTAGTGGTTGAGATCCTCGACTGGATCAGGGAGATGATGTAGTAGTATCTGAGGAACGGATGTAATTCCAACCACCAACATGCCAGGCTACAATGACGCATCATTAAACCAACGTTTGTTCAATTCAAAACTTAATAAAGGAAAGTGTTGAATCAGGTTTAGAAGGTTCAAGGTTTGACATTTGTCTTGTTGAACCAAACCACTAATAGAAAAGATTCAAGAGACTCAAAGTGATCAGATGCAACAATATACAGATCTAATAATTTCACATTTTTATGATTTTTCTAAGTGCCAAAAATATCCTCCACAAGTTCCACCAACTGTGAATGAAACCATAATTCTGTGTGTGACACACCACACCACAGCAATTCATCGTCAGCAGCAGCAGCAGCAGCACAAACGCACCGTCCTCCTTCATGACAGAAGGGTTTAAATCTGATCTATAATTAGCTCTAATTCAGCTCTGTACCTGTTTCCCAGAAGTAGACTGACAGCCCATCGTCCGTCTGAGCTCCAGCCGTCCAGAAACCACAGACGAACAGCAGCAGCAGCAGAGTCCCTAAAAGATACCTGGCCCCCTCTGTCCTTTTCCTGAGGGTCACTGCTGCTACTGCCCCTGCTGAGCCCCTCCAATCTGGCCCCATGGTACAGGGATTCCAAAAAAGTAAATCCACCCAGTTCAAGAAGTCAAGAAATGATGAAAAATGAGGAGAGTCCAAAAACAAAATAGTCCAACAAGAAGTACAAAATAATGTTTTTGTGTTTTGGGGGAAGGTCGGTCCAGCAGGAGGAGATGATCCACGAGTTCAGCACCAGTCTTTGGTTTCAAGTGAAGGTCAGAAAAAAAAAAGTTGTTTTCTTTCCTTTTCTTGGATTTAATTTCTCTCTCCTTCCCTGGCAGGATGGTCCAGGATGGTGGCACCGCTCGCTCCCTCAGTCAGTCACTTACTCAGTGTGAGAGTTACTGAGTCCATCAGTCAGTCACAGTTGGAGGCTGAGGTACCGATGGATGATGGTACAGTCGTCCTCCTCCATCGCTGCTGCCTCCGTCCTCTGGCTGTGGAGCAGTGACAGTGGGCGAGTGTCTGCAGTGTTGTTTCGCCTCCCTCCCTCCCTCCCTCCCTCCCTCTCCGTCCCTCTCTCTCTCTCTCTCTCTCCGTCTTACTCCCTCCCTCCTGCTCCTATTTGCTCACTCCCTCAGTGCCACTCTGCTCCTGCTCTTTCCTGAATCACTCATGTTATTTTTCATTCATTCCCTCAAATCTCTATTTCTGTTCTTTTTTTTTTTTTAATCTTTCTTTCCACAAATTCTGCATCACTAACAAGCTCACTGCCTACTTTTTTTTTAACCCCTCTCTCTCTCTTCTAGGACACATACATAAGGAGGAGTGGTGCTCCCCTTCTCCCTTGTCCTCATGCTGGGAGGATGACTGGAGACCAGCAGCAGCTCCAGTGTTCACGATGGTCTGGTCTTCTGAGGAGCTCCCCTAAGCACTTGCTGCCGCCCGGGGTCTCGGAGCAGCGGAGAGATGAAGAAGAAGCTTAATGCAGACGAATGAAGGGGAGGAGGAGGAGGAGCAACACAGTAGAGCAAAGAGAGAACGGGGCTGTTTATACAGTATGATGGCGAAAGAATTGAGTGTGAAAGTGAAACGATACAACAGTAGCTGTGCTAATTACAGCAAGAAACAAAAAAATAATATATATATAGAAAAAATATAGAAAGCCAAGGATATGGTTTCTTTTCTTATCCTCGTAGAATTGTTTTTTCTTTGAGTCATTCCAGTGGTCCCATTTCTCACTTATAGCCCAGTTCTTTAGTCTTGAGTTCTACATCTAACAGTAATTCGTCATTTCAATTTTGTTTTCAAAAACTTAAGTCAACTTTCTCTTTTTTCCCCTCCCCTGTATTCCACTCTTTCTTCCTTAAAGCTTTCTCAGTTTCCTTTTTTTTCTCATGTTTACTCTCAGATCCATCTTTAGATGTTCTATAAGTTCCTCCAATGTTAAATCCGCAAAAAAATGTTGTGTACGGCAGTACAGGCAGGACTCAGGAGACGTGGATCAGGTGCAGAACTTGATTAAATCTGTCCAAACTTAAATCATGCGGACGGTCCAACGGGAAAATGAGGCTCAACTCAGGGAACCAGACGGGAACAGAGATGATGGGAAAACAAACAAGGAAACACGAAACACGAGGAGCACCAGGAAATTCAAGAACGTCAGGAACCGTAATCACACAAGAACGTCAACGACCCAACAAACGCAGGGAGGTATATGTATATATGCACAGAGGTACCAGGTGAGACGAGTGAGACTCATGAACAGAGAATCACAGGTGAGCGTAAAGACACAAATTACTCCAGAAGCACGACAGAAGACAGAAATGACAAATACGTCCATCCATCGTATGGACGAATCCATCCATTTTCATCCGCTTATCCTGGGTCTCAGGGGCAGTTGTCACCACCCAAATCACACTGCACCATACCAATCCCCCCAAACCTTCCTGCAGGTGCTGAGTCCACTGGAAGGTACCAACCGCCCTAACCGGGATTTGACCTTGTCCAGGAGGTGAACCCTGGGGTTCCACACCAATGACAGAGACGTTAACTCTGGGCCAAAACGCCACTGACAAATAAGTCCTTTATCCAAATATGTTTTAACATGAAACTTTCACCACATACACAAGAGAACCTCTGTCTTCGACAGTAACAACACTTGGTTTTGAAGTCCAAGGTTTCTTGGTCATTTCAGGTACTTCTAACTCATGGTTACTGCTGGCTTTACAATGGGCCACTTTTAAATCATTTCTCGGAAGCCTTTGAACCCCCCAATAAAGCGTCTGACAGCAGGAAACAGCCTGACAGGTCGTGGCCACTTCACTAATGGCTTCCCTAATAAAAGGATACAACTGTTCAGGTCCACTTTTATATGAAGAGTACAATAGATGAGGGTTTTTTTTCTGGACACAAGAAAAGCATTTTCAAATCGAACCTGTACAATGTATTGCTATGGAAATCAATCAAGTCTAAAAAGAAACGTATTTTTATCCAGCATTGTCGAAGTCATTAGGTTTAAATGCATTTTTGGTTAAATTCTCTAATTCTTTATATTTCCTTTACTCAATAAATTAAGCGAATCTTACTGATTCGATCAGCAGCTGGCGCGCAGTCAGAATAAAAACACTTATTTTTAACTGTAGCTGCTTGAGCGCAGGTCGCTGCACACTTTACTTAATTTGAGGCCGTTTAACTATGAAACAAAGCTAAATATTTCTAAGACAGAAATGTCTATGGGGAAACTTTTTCGAGTGGCCTGAATTCTGGAGTGCCTGCTGGCAGCCTTGATTTCAGAGTCTGTCTCAGGCTACTTCAGCACTCACTGTCTGCTCTGTCACATTTAGAGCCTAAGATGATTACTCACAACCTTGTGTCCCCAGCCTGACTATGACAATAAATTATCCAACTTTAAGGAGGTAGTTCAGCCTTTGCAATATAAGCTTTAATATCTTTAGATCAGGGGAATCTTTGGACTAATCATTTAGAAAATGACTGATTTCAGCCAAGAAGCTACAGTCCAACTCTGCCTCGTGTGGTCAATTTGACTAAAATTGAACTTGATTGCGTGGTTAATTAATAAGCGTGCTAATGTTAGGCCAGTGCATTCACTGTCTGTTGTTCTCCTTTTGCATTAAAGTTTTTACGGTTAATTTAGCTATTCCTAGGTTTATATTACCACTGGTATGTAGATTATGTAGAGTCTTGTTGATGCCTCCTAGTGGCCACAAGCTATAAATACCAGTAAACTATACAGTGCTTGTTACTACATGACTCCAGGCTAGTGAGTGCACTGTCATCTTCTTTTTTTTTTCTTTTGTACAGTATATAAAGTAATATTATTGGGCTGATGCTTAATTTTCCAGACATTCTTGCACAAAAATGCTATGACTTATACAATCAACATTTGGATCAACGTCAAATCGAATTGATATGGAATTAAATTGTGACGTAAGAATTGAAATCGAATAGTTTCAGCCCTAATCTACATTATAAAAAAAGAAAAAAAAAACCAACAAGAACTGTGGGGGCGGGTTGTCCTATTTATGCTATTGTTACCTTAAAATCCAAGTTCCATTTCAATCTCTGAAATATTTTCATTATATATATATACCTTATATATATCTTCTATATATCTAACTAGCTCTCTGAAATATTTTCATTATATATATACCTTATATATATCTAACTAGTGAGGAATCCTTCTGTAGAAGGTGAACTTTTTCTGCTCACACAAATTCCACCAGAATTGAGTCCTGTGTTAATTAAGGTTCTTTTCTTCTGCCAAGGTCAGCACTCAAGTTTCACTGATTGTTCTCTTTACGTCACTCTCTGCGCAAAAACTTCTGGATTTTTTCATCTTTTCATCTGTCAGAATTGTCTTTCGTAGCAGGATCAATCAGTCGGAGGCAAATTTTATTTTACATATCCTGTCTTCACTTGATTTTTATAGCAGCAAATTACAAGTTCTGTACAAAAACCTTTTTTTGTTTAGGCATATTATTATTTTTAAGGGTTCGTATAAGCTGAAATAACCCCTGTGCAGTGGACCAGAAACGTCAGTAACATTATTTCTGTAAAAGCAATTAAATTATATATAATTTTTAATTATTTCTGTTCTGATCCCAAGACATCTGCATTTCCACAAATACTCTGTAAAAGATCAACTGCAACATCAAGCCTGAAGTCGGGTTTTTTAATTAGTTATTTAACCATAAAACTGTATAAAATATATTTAAATTTAAATTAAGTTTTTAAAGTTAATTGAATTGCAGCATGTTCTCTGACAACTCAGGAAGATTTGCCGCGTGAGTCATCACCTCTGTCCTCTCTCTTGGTTCAACCTCTCAGAGAAGGACCTTTCTTTTACACATTTATACTCAAAAGACTGGAAACACTGAAAAGCTAAGTAAACATCGTTCTTGTTCCTGCTTGAGTTCAGGTCAAGTCTGCTTTATTCCTCAGCTTCTGTCACAAATGTGTCTTTTGGTACGTGGGGAACTAAGAATTCAAAGCTTACGAAAGGAAGTCGAATAAAATTCTCACTGTGATGATAAGCGAGTGTTGAAACCAGCCCATAATAAAGACTGACAACTAATTTTATGGAATTTTTTTTTCATTTGTCAAGGTAACCTTTCATCCCATTGTCAGGCAGATAATGGTCTGACACTTTCTTCCAATCTCCGTTATTGCCTCCATCGTACTGATGCCGAGGCATGATTGTGTTTGGATACAGATCAGATAGAGACAGCTGTTGTCACACTGTTCCTTCTCCATCTTTAAACTCCGCATGCTTCCTCTTTGTGAGGGATGATGGGGAGGGTCAGTGTGTGTGTGTGTGTGTCTGCGTGGAGACTGGAGCTGCTCCTTTCACCATTTTACAAATTCGATTTTTCTTTTTGGAAGGAAGTTGTTGAGGCAGTGATGAGATAATGGACAGAGCTGCTGGTGGTGGAGTTGACTCATTTGTCATCTGCTGATAAAGATCACTCAGTCGTTAGGTGGCGGCTGGTGATGACTTTTCAGTCCTGACAGTTCCGCCCACCTCGGTGCTCATCTGTCTGACTGAATCCAGGACACAGCCAACAGTTGACATTTAACAGCACAGACAGTGACGTCAGACTCCAGATCATCAGCTGGGAATTTATTAAAACATGACAGCTCCAGATCATCAGCTGGGAATTTATTACCATTGACAAACAGTCATGACGATAAAAGTTGAGAACCCTAAAATTTTCTATAAATGTGTTATCAATGATAAAAAAAAAGTAATTCCATATTATTATAGTAAAACAGAGTTTAGATCTGTGGTTCAATTGTGCAATACAACTGTAAATTAAGTTATTAAATTATCACTAATTAGAATAATCAGCTGATGCCAAAAAGTACAACGGAGTAGCACTACAAACACACACACTCAGAGGAAAAGAGAGCATCACAGATATAGAGAGAGAGTCCAAAAATCTAATAGCTGTATTTTAAGTGTTTTTTTTTTAGCCCTATTGACGTACATCCTTTGTTTTGCCAATGCATTAAAAAAAAAAGCAGATATCACTGTAAGCCCCAGTACCACTAGAGGTACGGCTACCATAGTTTAAGAACCACACATTTTTATGATATGGTAAGAGAAACGCATATTAAGATAAATGTGTATTTTTCAAAAACTGAAATATATATATAGTTCTACAGTATATATGTGCTAAGAACCAGGACCTACAGTACATGAAAGTATAACAAACATTATTTCCTCAATATAATTTAAAAAAAAATTAAAAGTACTAAAATAGCATCAACAAAATTCCTAACATACAGCAACGCCAGGAACAGTTTGGGAAAGTAAACCGAACTACAGTGGTCCCTCGTTTATCGCGGGGGATAGGCTTCAAGGCCTGGCGC